ACCAGTCGCCATGCTTAAATCCGTCCGGATTATCCTAGCAATTGCTGCATTTTATAATTATGAGATATGGCAAATGGACGTCAAAACCGCCTTCCTTAATGGAATTTTGGAAGAAATAGTGTTCATGACATAGCCGGAAGATTTTGTAGGTCCAAATAATGCTCGGAAGGTATGCAAGCTTAAGAAATCCATTTATGGATTAAAGCAGGTAAACAGAAGTTGGAATTTGCCATTCGATGAAGCTATTAGCAAGTTTGGTTTTATCAAGAATCCAGATGAGTCTTGTGTTTACAAGAAGGTAAGTGGGAGTGACATCACATTCCTTGTCCTATATGTCAATGACATATTGCTAATTGGAAACAACATTCCAATGTTGGAGTCTGTAAAGACTTGGCTTGGAAAATGTTTTTCAATGAAGGACTTGGGAGAGGCATAATACATATTGGGCATCAAGATCTATAGGGATAGATCTAAGAGGATGATTGGTGAGCCAAATTACTTATATTTATAAGGTATTAGCACGATTCAATATGGTGAAGCCAAGAGAGGCCCCTACCCATGTCTCATGGCATAACTCTCAGCAAAAAATAGTGTCCAAAGACACTAAATGAGCGAGAAAGAATGTGTAACATTCAATATGCTTCGCTTACAGGATCGATCATGTATGCCATGATATGTACAAGGCCGGATGTATCGTACGGCTTGAGTGCTACGAGCCAACACCAATCAGACCCAGGAGAGGCGCATTGAATTGCGGTCAAGAATATCCTAAAGTAGCTGAAAAGGAACAAGGATAAATTTCTGGTCAATGGTGGGAGTAAGGATTTGGTTGTTGAATGTTATACTAACGCAAGCTTCCAGACTGACAGAGATGACTTCAAGTCGCAATCAGGATATGTGTTCTGTCTTGATGGAGGAACGTTCAGTTGGAATAGTGCTAAGCAAATCACGACTGTAGACTCTACAACTAAAGCCAATTACTTGGCAGCTTCAGAAGCAGCTAAGGAGGCAGTTTGGATTCATAAGTTCATTGGTGAAATTTGTTGTCCCCTAAATAAAGGGACCAATAGACCTCTTTTGTGATAATAGTGGGGCTATTGCTTAGGCCAGAGAGCCAAGGGAGCATCAGAAAGTCAAACAAATTGGCTTTGATTTCCTTGTTTGTGTGTTTTAATTAAGTTGTTGAGATCTTAATGTAAAACACTAAGTGAAACCATTCATTTATGAAGTAATTTAATATTTCTGTGAATTATTATTCCATTTCTATTTAATTGTGGTTAAGAATTACATAATGAGTCCATTCGATTTGAGAATATTAAAAATAGGGTATAAAGACAAGTCTTTGATAAAGAACACCTATTAAGTGTACATTGAATATCATATCAAAATTATCCCTAATCGAGGTCATTTGAAATTTGGACGGCTAATGACCATGTGAGATTAGTGTGTAGTATGATTTATAGCACTGTTTCTTGTGCTACAAGGACAAGAATGTCATAAATCATTTGCACAGGTATTGGTTTGGAACCATACCGGATCGACCTATGAGAATACTTTAAGAGATTTAACAATCGTCATAAGTATATTACTCATTATGGCTATCGAAACCTTTTTCCTCAACCATGAGTATTGTAAGTTCTCTTGTTTGAGTACTAGTCCGTTTTGATGTAGTCAAACGTCTGCCGTATGTATAAGGGGATTATAAAGGCAACACTCGGGCGGAATGTGCCCCTATTAACAGTAGGGAACAAGTCTTTGTTGTTTACAAGGCCTCTCAAAGAGCGAGACTGTGAAAGTGCACAGTCGTGCTCAAATGGATTTTAAAATCATCTACTTATTGACAGTCGAACTCCGAAATCGAGAAACACTTCTGGACGGAATAAGGATAATGACGAATCTTACTTTATAGTTCATGAAGAGACATTAAGTGACATAGGAAATAGGCTATACACAATCAGCACATTTGTCCGGAAGTAGAAGTGGGAGATTGAAAGGAATGATGTCCTTCGAACAAGTTTATTATTCCGATAAAGGGCTCGGAATTAATTAGGAAAGTTATTCAGTGAGGTCAAGTAATCGGAATGCCTAGGTGGAAGCCGCTTCTGACCAGTAATATTAATGAATAATTAATTTTACAGTTTGCTCTTGACTGAACCCTTCGTGTCACATCCAATCGTGTAACCGAACCAAAGTGACGAATTAATCCGAAAGATTTATGAGTCGATAGAGATTTTACGAACTAAGACGTCGAATTCTGAGCTTAGAGCGTCGAAAGTCGAGTTGAATTTCAGAATCGATGAGACGGAAAAATAAGTCAAACAACAAGTCAACGCACGTGAAAATCCTAGTCTCGGTATGGCCTAGCCAATCGAGGGCTAGGTGAGCTAGCATGGCTAGCCAAAGTCCTTGCCGCATGGTAAGGCTTAGCCGCAAGCTCAGCATGCATTGTACGCATGGCTAGGTGTGCAGGCCAAGCAAACCATGCGGGCAAGGCGTGCCGTCTAGGGCGAGCATGCATGAGGGCTTGCACGCCCAGCTGACTGCACTTTAGCGCCAACATGCATCAATGTGTGGCTGGGCTAGCAGCTATGCCTCAAGCAAGCAGCAGCCTGCTAGCATGCGAGAGCAAGCAGCAAGGCACGCCAGGCACAAGCTACTAGCACGAAGCTTGGTGCGTAGTAGCAACAGTGCCCAGCAACAAAGCAGCCCGCATTTGCGAGGCTTGCTGTTATAGGCTGGTGTGGGAAGGCCCACCTGGCAAGCCCAGCCGAGGGACCGGGCGCCAGCTTGGCCGCCTTGGTGCCCAAGGTGTGCTGCCACTTGGTGCCATCCCGTTGCATCCGGTTTTGTGAAGGGGTTGTTTGGGGAGCAAGGGAGTGTGGTCCTCCCTTGTGGTCTTCACCTACTCCATTACTCACCTTATGCCACTTGTTTTTTTATTATTGCCTTGTCATTTTAATTTAATTTAGAGTTAATTTAATTCTTTCTTTTGCCATTTTACCAACTATCCCACATTGAAAGATGATGGGGAATCTTGGGGACATTTCCCAATAAATACCAATCATAGGGTATTGCACTAGTAGAAAAAATGAATTAGGCACCGCACCTTTCGCACCGGTTCTTGAAAACCGGTGGCAAAAGAAATGGGTGGGATAAGCTAAATGACCTTTCGCACCGGTTTAATAGAAACCGGTGCGAAATCATCTTTTTCGCACCGGTTCAAACCGGTGCGAATTACAAACAAAAAAAAAAGAGTAAAGGGATTTGCCATCGGTTCTAACCAAAACCGGTGCGAAATGTTAAAAAAAAACCGGTTTAAGGCTTTCTTTCTTCTTCTTTCTTTTTCCCCCTGCTTTCCCTCTTCGTTCTGCTCTTCTCTCTCCCTCCAATTTTCGCGTCTCCTGCTCTTCCTCCCAGCTTTCCCTCTCCGTTTTCGCATCTCCCTCTCGTTTTTGCATCTCCTTCTGCACTCCATTGAAGCAGCTCGCTCTCTCTCCATTGAATTGGTTTACGCGCTTCCTCACTCCATTGAACCAGCTCTGGCCTCCATTGAACTCACTTCGAGGTAAGATTTTTCTTGTGGTTGTGCGAATTCATTGATTATCTTTCGCAATCTAGGGTTTGTCGTTGATTTTCTGTTCAATTTAATAATTTTAAGGTTGTGGTAATATAGGGTTTGTCATTGAAGCGCGCACGGCTACACCTCCACCCTAACGGCCTCCTTGTCACGGCTACACCTCCACCAATTCCGAGCTTTCTCACCTCCATTGAACCAACTTCGAGGTAAGATGATGGTTTTACCTTTAGTTTGCCTGATGAACCATGATAATCTCTAATAAAAAGGACTATAATGGACGGACTTGAATTTTCTTTACCTAAACTCCTTAAACTTGGTTGAAATGCTTTCTCTCCCCTGTAATTAGCAATTTAACATTCCTTTTTGAGCAGCCTAAATGGCAATTAGCATGTTAACACTTGGGTATTTATCCTGTAGTTGAATTGTTCTGAATTGGTGTTCTTGTATGATTTTAATGGGGTTTTGAATTTTAATTTGATAATTTCTTTTCTGGAACCACATTACATGAACCGATTTTGGATTTTCGAAAAAAGTTGTTGTGATGCATGAAATTGTGATGGTTTATGTTTGTTTTTCGTTATAAATGATTAAATAATTTAATTGATGGGAAGATGGTATAATTAGAACGATTATTGTTAAGAGATATCGTAGAATTATGTTATATAGTATACTAGTATATCTATATATGAGGGGTTATCACAAATGCACAATGTGACAATTATATTCGGATGAAGTATAACATTGGGTGAATCTAATTATTTAGATTAGGGGCTTGTAACTTTTATAAGGACTACCATGCACTTGCTAATTTGTTATTGAAGAAATAAATATGTAGTGCAAAATAGAATGGTCTTCCATAAACGGGGTTATATCATTTGCTAATTTCTTAAACTGATTCCTTTATATGGTTATTACTGCAAAATAGGGTTGATTGTTACTCTATTAGGTTCATATTGTTTTGTTTCTAGAAGTTTACACATTTTTCCCAAAAAATTTTGTGATGACACATCTTTCTACAGTTAACTTCCGAAGCCACTTAGAGCAGCCTTTGTTGTACCGACTTAACATGTCCATAATGTTGACACCCTTGCCACCTGGTTCACAGATTTGAACCTAATTATCGTCTCTTAAGATGATTTTAGTTAGACTTCTCTATGTATTTAATCATGTCTTCTAGCAATTTCAAGTGCTGATGCTATTGAATCAAGAATGTGAGACTATTTGCATAGGAAATCATAAGATATAAAGTGGGGTTCTTGGGTATTAGAGTTTTGGTAATTAAAGTTTGAATGCAATTACTAAATTCCTTTTTGTGCCTAATTGTGAATAAAGAAGTAAAAATAACTCTGTAAAATCATTGAATTTTAAACCGCCTTTTATGTTTTTTGAAATAATATTATGGTGTCGTATATATTTTTCTTACATGCTCTTTTTTGGTTTTGTTTTTTTTTCCCCTGCAGATGCTGGATTATAATGTTCCAGGAGGTGAGGAAGTACTGTCCTTTACAATTTACTCATTTTAAAAATAAATCCTGGGCCATGTTTGGAATATAAAAGATGTTTGCCATTTGATTCTCTGCTCTATCTTGTGTTTGTTCATTTGGAAGAAAAAAAAAATTGTTTAAAATGTTTTATGGTCACCTTGATTTTTTTATTTTACTTTATTTTTTTTTATGATATTGAGGAAATAATTGTTTTATACGAAGTATATCTTATGAGTGACAAGAATAAACAAAAATAAAGATAATAATAAGTTCCTCTACTAGATTTATGATGTATCATTTTAAAAAATTTCACCGAATGATGTGATGGTTATGAAAATTTGAAATTCAAAAGGCAGTAAAAGTTTAAGATATGTCCTTCTTCCTTGTATACTTTGAAATTTATGCAGCTTAACTTTCAGAAGAACAAGATATTGAAGATATTAATGTCATAAGGAACAAGTAGAATATCTAATTTCAGAAGCTTGAGACACCTATATACAAACAACGCAAGCCTTAACCCAATTTTTTTTGGAATTCCACAAGTTGATTTACGTTACATTTTGGTGCTGATTTTGTGTCTTGCAGGGAAGCTAAATCGCGGGCTTTCTGTTATTGACAGCTACAAGCTGTTAAAGGAAGGAGAAGAGCTGACTGATGATGAAGTCTTTCTTGCTTCTGCCCTGGGGTGGTGCATTGAATGGGTATATAGATATGAATTTTCAGTGAAGTTATGTAGTAGTCCCTTATTTTGATCTTTTAGGGATATCACTAACAGGATTTTTCTATTTTCTGGTCCCTCTCTCTAACAGCTTCAAGCATATTTTCTCGTTCTTGATGACATCATGGATAACTCTCATACAAGGCGTGGTCAGCCTTGCTGGTTCAGAGTTCCTAAGGTTTGCTTCTGTTGTGAAAATGAGCCTTTAAAAATAGTATTTTATTTATACTGCATTATAAGCTTGCAAAATCAGTATTTAATGAAAATTTTATCCTGTCAGGTTGGGATGATTGCTGTCAGTGATGGAATAATACTTCGAAACCAAATCCCAAGAATTCTCAGGAAGCATTTTGGGGATAAGAAGTACTATGTTGACTTGTTGGATCTGTTTAATGAGGTAACGATGCTTTGTAAAGGGTTCTCTTTTCACCTTAATTCTCTTTTCACGACCCAAGAACATTGCCTTTTGTTTTAAAATCTTTGCATAATCCATTATGGAGATATTGGCTCTAGACTAGATTGCCGGCCCCCTTAAAGCTTTAAACAAGTGGGAAAGAGGATAAATTGTTAGATATCTTGGTCCCTAGGGATAGTTGATCCGATTTGAGGGTTGATTTCTCAGGCTTTATAATTGCTGATAAAATCATATAATTCTTCCTCGTTTGGATTGAACTATACATAAGTATTGGAAGGGAAGGAAAATACTAATATGAAAGTCCATGTAAATTCTTGTTTCACACTTTCCGTTGCATTGGTGAAATTTGGAAGGAAAGAATGATTTAAATTCCTTTTTCTTTTTATTCTTATTTTAAATAAAGGCTTCTGTTCAGAACAACTTATTTTTCCTCTACGTAGAGATTGATCTTTAATATATTCTAGCTGAAAAGTAAATAACCACAGTAGAGAAAAATTTGAAAAATCAGGGTGAAGTTTTATTGGACGACACATGAGGTAATTTATTCAAGTGACCATTTAGGTAAGGGGTGGCTTCTATTTGTGTTGATTTTGAATAGGATCTGAGGTGATCTAGCCATTTTTTTTAGAAATATATTAATATACCCAATGTATACAATAAAGGAAAAGAAATTACTTCATGCTTGAAATACATTGTCTATGCCTTCTAAATCATATCTGACCATTTCATGTTGTATTTATAACATTTTTAAGGCTTATAGACTGTGAAGTGATACATATTTTTGTATTACTTGTTAAGCAATTGGATTCATTTAATCACTGGGAACCAACAACTTTTATTTTACGGCGCTCAGGTTTTCAAGTAAAGATCAATATAACAGGAGCTCTTCAAATTGCTGATGAATATAACTGCAACATTTTAATTTTACGGGAACCAGCAACTTTTATTTTATGGCGCTCAGCTTTTATTTTTGCATTTAGCTGTTCTAACTTGTGAAATATAGCTGGAACATTTTAATTTTTATTGTTCTCTATTGAGACCAGCACAAATTTAGGAAAAAACATACTTGTAGTCTGGAGGCTCTAGCACTCTACAGGTTGGGAACTTTTCTCTTCTGCAACTGCCAGTGCATCTTCAAGCGGCTTGATAGCTGACTGAGCTTCTGAGACATTGGTAGTCAAAGTTTCAATTTCAAGCAGTGCATTCTCCAACTATTGTTGCGCCTGTTCTTTCATCACATCACAGTCGCTTAAGTACCCAGCATGCCATCTTAAGTAACAGCAGGCTTAGAAGAATGGAGGGCAGCAGCAATTCTACCAGCGCCGTACTAACCAGCCTAACCAGGTACTTTTGGGCTATGATAATGTGGCGTTAGATTAAAGACTTCAGTAATGTAGGCATGTAGCTATGTCTTTTACCTTTTTTTTATTCGTATGATAGCTTCCTAGTGCCTTTGCAATCTCGGTTTGGTTACTCAGATGTACTTGCCTTCCCCTCCCTTCTCTGGTTAACTACCTACCTTGTATTCCTTTTCATTTTCTAGAATTAATTCTTTCTTTTGAGGTAATGTAGTAGTTAAAATCTCTACTTGATCATTTATAAGTTAACAATAACAATGGATTCTCTACATCACTTGTATGGAGTATTAAAGTGTATCATTATTCTAGCATGTGAATGCTAAATATCTATGGATTCTGTTTAGGAAACTAGATTATTTATATAGCCGTCATGAACTTTGTTGTGCTGGTCATTATTTAAGGATTTCCAATTGGATTCTGTAAAAACTTCATTTCAGGATTTGGATTTGCGTGAAATACAGTTTGTAATTTTGTCGTTCTGCTTGGTTTTAAAGCTGCATATTTTGGGTTTGATGGATGTCCTGTTGTCCTCTAGACTACGGTACGGAAGAAAAGGGGGGGTTGCTGATTTTGTTTGGTGCCATCCAAGGAATATTCATCTTCTGGCAATATATTTGAGTATTAGTACTTAAATTCTACTATATTTTGCGGTCACCTAAAAATATGTTGTGTGTAAAATAAAACTTCTGACTTGCTTTTCAAGTTTATTAATGTGGTCAGTCAAAAATATTTTCGCAGGCAGCTTCTGGGTTTACAAGATCATGTAACGACTTTGATAAAGGAACTACTGCTCCAAACACCAGCTATGGTCAGAAGTTTGAAGCCACTGACAACAAAAGCTATGGCATGAAAATTGGTTCGTCCTGCTTTAAATGTGGCCAGGAAGGGCACTGGGCAAAAGATTGCCCAACTACTACATCCAACGTAGCTGCTGGTGCGATAGAAAACCAGAAGTTCGAAGCCACTGACAACAGAAGCTATGGCATGAAATGTGGTTCATCCTGCTTCAAATGCGGCCTAGAAGGGCACTGGGCAAAAGATTGCCCTACAATTACATCAAATGTAGCTGCTGGTGCGACAGGAAACCAATCAACTGACTCCTGGTTTGCAAGAGAAGCTGCCACCAACTGACTCGAGGCTTAGGCCAGATTAAAGACACTTGGAAAATGGTGAATATGAGCTGGCAAATATAGAGAAACTCATACTTGAACAGTTGCAAAGACAGGTATGTGTTTGGCTGAGTAAATCTCATTAACAACTCCTCAAACTGGCAAATGCAGACAAACTCAGACTTGAACAATTCCTCAAATAATTGTATCGCCATTTTTTATTTTAGTTTTTTTAAGTGTAATATTACAAGTTATTGAAGAAAATATATGTGTTTTATGTATATTATGATTATATACAAGTATCTGGTACAATTTAAGTGAAAAAACTGCAAAAAAAAAAGAAAAAAAAAAAGTTTAATTTTTTTGGGCACTTTTGGCACCGGTTTTAAACAGAACCGGTGCTAAACGTTTTTTTTTAATTTTTTTTGCCACGTTTCGCACCGGTTTAAAGCAAAAACCGGTGCTAAAAGTTTAGTTTTTCGCACTGGTTTTCATCCAGAACCGGTGCGAAAAGCCTGATTTCGCATCGGTTTTGAACCGCTGCGAAATGTCTGGGGTTTTAGCACCCCCCAAATCAGGATCGGTTCAAAACCGGTGCTAAATGGAGGTTTTGAACCGGTGCGGATTACGTGTTTTCGCCTAGTGTTGGGATTTTTACTTGACTTGGTGAACTCTAAGGGATCTCCAAAAGCGAGAAAATACAAGTCCAAAAGTATTATGTCCAAAGCAAGAACAAACAGAAAACACAATGTAAATTTGCCTTGATAGAAACAAAAATCTTTTTGATGTTTTTCAAAATAAAGAACATTGAAATGCATATACAGTTGTGCATGGCATATATGAATCAAAATCCCACCAAACATGATAAAAAAAAACCCTCCCCCAAGCTTTAATGAGACAACATGCTCTAATCCATGGGAGGAGAAAAGAAAGAAATCAATCCAACAAACCAACATATGTCCACAAGCCACCAAGCACTAGAGAAAGAGTGAGGAAAGATATTACCGGATGTAGGTTGTAATACCCCGTATTTTTATACGTATATTCATTTCAAACATTATTTTATGAAGTATTTAAATAATTTGAAATGAATTATTTATGGTATTTTATAAACTTAAGAAGGTTTATTTAAATGAAAGGTCCATTTTATTTATTTAATTGTTTTGGAAATTGTTATTTTATTATTTAAAAAGCTTTGGGGCATATTATTTTATGAAAGAAAATTTTAAAGTCAATGGAATTTAAAGAAAGTCAAAGAGTAGTTTGAATAGGAGAAGGAATCAGTAAGGGTAAAAGGGAAATTTAAGTTAGGAGGGTTTTGAGAGAGGGTATAAATACCCATCACATGAACAAGTTAGACCTTGCCCAATGTGGCGAATACCCAAAGGTAAACTCTCTCTCTCTCTCTCCTCTTATTTTCTCTCCCCTTAATTTTTCCTAGCTATCCCTTTTTATTTTCTCACCTCCACGCCACACACCACACACGCCACCCACGAGTGGCAGGCCACCACCACAACCATCCACCGGCCGACCACCGCCACTAGCAGGCGCCGCCAGCAGCACCATCGATGGGCACGCGACAGCAGCCCTGCCGTGGTAGTGTGCGTGCGCAATCCTCATCATAAAAAAAAAAAGAAAAGGAAAAAAATCTTATATGTTTTAATTCAATCCAATTTTGATCTAATAATTGTTTTTGGTGTGTATGATGATTTTATGGTGTTTGAATTATGATTATTATGTAATTAATTTTCAGATTTGATTTTTGAATTAAAAAGCCCCAAATTGAAAACCCTAGGTTTCTAAATTAATGAATATTGATGGAAATTGATTGTAGTTGATTGAAATTATTGAAATAGGTGTTTTTAAACATAATTACAGGAATATTATAAGTTTTTATAGAGCTGGAAATTTTATATAAAGGTAGAATTATGTTTTTTAAAAGGATTTTTAATTACCCATTTATTAGGAGTAAAAGTAGGTGGTTTAAATTAATTTTCAGCATGTTTTAGAGGGTTTAAAAGTGATTTAAAGATTGTATATATTGCTTGAAATTTATAATGAATAGGTATTAATGTCTCTTTGTAATTTTGGGTTGTAGGAGATTTCCAAGTGAGTGATTTCGTGTAATTGTGGTGATTTTGAGATCATATTCGAGGTACGTTCGCGTATTCGGTATTTATTTAAGTGTGTAGAAGCATGCTAGGCTTTGTTTAATTGATTCCAAGGTAGTATCATGATAGGTATTGGTTGGAATTGTTGATTGAATGGATGTTGGTGGTTGATTTGTGAAGTATGGATTACTTGAAGTGAATAGATGATTGGAATTAATTATGTTGGCATGTAGAATATGAACCACACTTTTATTATTGGCATGATTAAGAGCATGTTTAATCAAACTAAATGTTTAATTTGGTGTGGAATATAAAAAGGGAATTTTATTATGGTTCATATAACTTTTATTGATGCTTTAAGCATGGAAGTTGAGCTATCAAGTGTCTTAGTACACGGGAATAAAAGGAAATGTGGTGCCTAAGTACAATTAAGGTGTTCAAAACACCGAGGGATAGGATTTGCGGCTCTTTATGCGCTTAAGGTGTTATTTAACGCT